TCAGTAATTAATAGAACAAGCAGGCAAAAAATTTAGTCAAGATATAGAAGATTTAGACAATACTCTCAATGGTCTGTACCTAATTGACATTTATAGAGCACTCTGCCCACGTTCTTCTCAAGTGCACATGGAACATTTACCAAAATAGACCATATGCTGGACTATAAAACATGTTTCAACAAATTAAAAAGGATTGAAATCATGTAGAGACTCCTCTCGCTACAACGGAATTAAATTAGACATCAAAAAGAAAAAGAGATCTGGAAGATCTCCAAGTATTTGAAAGTGAAGTAACATACTTCCAAATAACCTTTGGGTTAAAGCATTCACAAGGGAAATTAGAAGATACTTAGAACTGAATGAAAATGAAAATGTAATTTATCAAAATTTGTGGAGTGCGTCTAATACTGCTTTAGAAGTAAACTTACAGCTTCCAACTCACTGACCCAAGATTCTGCCTTAAGGAGCTAGAAAAAGAGCCAACTAGAAGCCCACGTGGTAGTTGGAGAGGCCAGATCCCATGTGGCTGAATGTGTAGTTTAAGTCCCAGACCTGATGGCTTGAGAAGCATACCAGATGCATGTGCATATGTGCCTGAAATCCCGACATGACAATGGAGAAGGGATTATGGCATGGCCGCCCCTGTAGGTTGTGCTTTCTCACTTCCCCGCTCTCTCCCCTTCTGACTGTCTGTCTCCAGTTGCGTGCACACAGCCTATAGCAAAAATAAATAAATAGATAAATTTAAAAAGCTAGGAAAAGAGTAATCACATAGAGAAAAAGTAACGAGTTGAAATAGAAGGCAAATCTGAGAGTAAAAGAAAAAGCAAAACTGAATTATCTATATTTACAAAGTGGCTTCAGAGAGGTCATAGAAAAAATGGAATTAAAGTAAAAGTTTATTTTGATGTAGAATTTTTTTTTGAAGATCCCTCTTATTGAAGAAATTGGATTAAGGGATCAGCAGGTGGCATGGTGGTTAAGTTGCTGGACTCCAATATGGCAGACTGAGATTTGAGTTCTGGACCAGTAGGCTTGTGGTTCTTGCTGAGAACATGTGCATGTATGCTCAAAATCCCAGGAGGAGAATGGAGAAAGAGGGACTGCAGTGTGTCCATCCCCCCAGCGGTGATTTCCCACTTTTCCTGTCATGGTCTTGCTTTCTCTCTCTCTCTTCCTGGTGAGTCCATGTACCTTATGGCAAAAACCTGAAGGAAAAAAGGAACGAAAATGAAATTAGATTAGTAATTAAGTCTTCCCTGACCAGCAAGTGGCGTGGAGGTTAGGGAGGCTAGATCTCACATGACCATCTTCATGGTTCAAATCCTGGACCTAGTGGCTTAAGAATTATGCCAGGGGCATATTGCCTGCATGTCCCAAATCCTGAGAGAATGGGGGAGAAGGGATGGTGGTAGGTGGTGATGTCTTACCTTCTCTCTCTGTCTGTCCACCTCTGGCAAGCACATGCTCCCTATAGGAGAAAAAAGTCTTCCCACAAAGAGAAGTCCAGACCTATAAGACTATTGGTGAACTCTATCAGACATTTAAGGGCGGAAATAATAACAATTTTTTTTCACAATATTCAGAAAACATTTATGAGGCCAGTATACCACCTTGATGCCAACTTAGTCAAAGGACATTAGGAAAAAAAGAAAACTATGCCACAGTGTTATTTGTGTGTGTATTCACACACACACACACAAATCATTAAAATGTTAGCAGATTGTATCTAGCAATGTGTAGTAAGAATATATCATGACCATTTGGGTTTTTTCTAGTTGTAGGGTTGAATTAATATTAATAGAATAAAAGAAAAAATCTAAGGTGACTTTTAAAAAAATAATATTTATTTATTTGTTCATTCAATCATGAGACAGAGAGAGAGAGAGAGATGGTGAGAAACCAAGTCACCATGACCAGGACTTGAACCGTGGTTGGCCATGTGGGAGTGTCCAGTGCCCCAACCACCATGCCACTGGCTGGTTCCCAAGTGACCTTTTTTTTCAAGCATGATCAATGTTCATGGATTTCTTTTTTCAAAGAATTATTTATTTTAATTTCATTTATTCATTCATTTATTATAATTTGACCAGAGAGAGAGACACAAAGAGAAAGAGAGTGAGAGAGAAATTGAGAAAGCAAACCACCAGATGTGGGACCTGAACCATGGTCAGCCATGTGGGAGTGCCCAGCACTTTAACCACCATGCCACCCGCTGGCTCCCTAAGGTGACTTTTTAATAGCTACATTAAAATGCATTTGACAGAGCACATATACTTCGTGGAATACTATTCAGCCATAAAAAACAACAAGCCCCTAGAATTTGATAGAAAGTGGATGAATATGGAAGATCCGTTGCTGAGTGAAGCAAGTCAGGCTATGAAAGAGGGACATTGTATGTCTCCCCTTAACATATACCGACTGTCAGCACTCTATGGCAGAGACTGAAAGACTGGAGGACATAAAAGCATTAAAAATTGTTATGGACACTAGAGCCAACGTGCAAAGAGTGGGGGAGGGGAAGAACATAGGAAAGGAAATTTGGGGAAAGAAGTGGAGAGGTAGGGCATTTGTGGGACATGGATATGGTTTGTTATTTGTTGATGACGTGTTTATATTCTCGTCTGGGCTGAACTGAGGTGTGTGTCACGCCGAGTAGAGTCTCTTTAAAATCTAAATGATGTGTAGCGATTAAATGTATAAATAATCATTAGAATGAATAAATAAAAATATCAGGAAAAAAAGACAATGAAAAAAATGCATTTGACAGACTTCAACACTAATTAATGATAAAAGTTCTCAAGTAACTACTGAGGAATAGAAGGAAACTTTCTCAATCTGATAAGAGACATCAGTGAAGGGACCAGCAGTTAGTGTAATAGCTATGTTGCTGGACTCCCATGTAGCCGACCATGGTTCGATTCCCAGACCTGGTGGCTTAGACTCACACTGGGTGCATGTGCATGTGTGCCCAAGATTCTGAGAGGAGAATGGAGGAGAAGGGCTTGTGGTGTGGCCATCCCCCCGGGGTGATTTCTCACTGTCTGTCTCTCTGTCTTTCTGGTGAGAGCACGCGCCCTATAGCAAAAACCTTCCCCCTCCAAAAAAAAACCCCCCCCCCACAAAAAAAAAAAAAAAAGAGAGACACACATCAGTGAAAATCCTAAAATTAGCATCCTCCTAAGGGTGAAAGATTGAATCTGTTCTACCTAGTATCCAGAGCAAGTCAGGGATATTCTCACATCTTCTTCAACATGTTCTGAAGGTTCTAGCTAGTTCAATAAGGCAAGTAAATGGAATATGCTTATAGATTAGAAACGGAAAATAAGACTATTTTTTAGATGTCCTTAAATTTTTTTTTTCTTTTTTCATGATAGACTGTGCATGCATGAATGTGAGAGTGAGGGAGAGAGGGAGGGAGGATTACCCTCCATAGGATTTGGTCACACTGTAATCCCCTTCTACCAGCCCTTTGGCTCTTGGGTACTGATGCATGTGTCTGGCGTGTTTCATGCTCGTGGACCAGGGATTGGAACATGCGTTTGCCTTGTGGGATCTAGCTTCTCAAGCAGTGCATTACTATTGTGCCACAGAGCCATCCCTAGATGTCTTATAGGTGACATGATTGCATGTGTTAGTAAGTCCTCAGCTATAAAAGTTCCTAGAGTCTGGGGCCGGCGTGTAGTGTGGTGGTTAAGGGCACTGGATTCCCACATGACCGACTGCGATTCGAGTTCTGGACCTGGTGGCTTGCTTTCTCACTTTCTCTCTCTCACACTCTGTCCCTGTACACTCCCACATGGCCGACCACGGTTCAAGTCCTAGTCCTGGTGGCTTGCTTTCTCATTTTCCTTCCTTATCTCTCTCTCTCTGGTCAAATTAAAATAAATGAATGAATAAATAATTTTTTTTAAAAAAGTGATGAACATTTATAATATCAAATAATATACAATATAAAAATGTTCCCTCTGAGTAGAAGAATGAGAATATTTTTGAGAATTCCTTGTAATAGGAAGCTACTTCTATCCATTTAATGGATAAAGACATTAAGTGACAGGCAAAGACCATGCATTTGTTCATGAGCACTCCTTTATAAATAGATTCTTTGACTGGGATATAGTGGGGAATAAAATACTGATCTTATGGAGCTTATACTATAGTAGAGATTGAAGGGAAAAATAAATTCAGGGCACTAAATTTCCAGTGTTGCTTAGCATTTTTGATTTAGATGAATAGTTAAAACTTTACTCATTAGATTTTATTTTTTAAAGAATTATTTTATTTGCTTTATTTATTTATTTATTTATTTGTTTATTTTAATTTGACCAGAGAAGAGCAGAGTGCCTGTGTGTATGTATGCAATAGAGAGCAAGAGGGAGAGTGAGAAAGCAAGCTGCCAGATCTGGGACTTGAACCAAGGTCAGCCATGGGAGTTCAGCATCCTTAACCACACGACCTTCATTAGATCTTTTTTTTTTTTTTTAGATTAGAGTTGTTTCAAGCTGTCACTTTTTTTTTTTAAGAATTATTTTATTTACCTTTATTTATTTATTTTAATCTGACCAGAGAGGAACAGAGTAAGAGGAGGGGGATGAAAGTGAGAAAGCCAGCTCCCAGGTCCAGGACTTGAACCATAATTGGCCATGTGGAGTCCAGCACCCTTTAACCACCACACCACCTGCTGGCCCTGCCCTCATTAAATCTTGTATATCGTTTCTTAATTGAATAATTCGGCCTCTGTATGTTGCAAGATACTTTCTTGTAATACATGCTTCGGAGTTTATAGGGTGGTTAAAAATCATTGACTTGGTTGGGTTAAGTTTCATGCTAAGGATGGTCCATGCAGGAACTCCTACATAGGGTAAAGAGGTAAAACTGATCTTCATTGAATGCCAACTATATTTCAGACACTGTATTTCTATCCTCCATGATACCGAGTTTTATTTTATTTAATCCTTGCAATATCCCTAAGGTAGGTGGTTTTTCCTTTTTTATCACAGATGAGAAGACCACAGCTCATAGAACTTAAGTGATTTGCCCAGTTTCATACAATGGTTCAGTGACTCAGTCCCACACCTAGCTGACTTTACACTGTTGGTACCAGCTGTTCTCAATCATTTTTCTATTGGTTACACCCCGGGCCATCCCATTCTTTCCCACCTAGGAAATGCAAGTAAGTGAGATTAATTTCTTATAGTGCTAACTTTGAAACTGTTATTTTATTTTAAAAGTACATCACTCACAAGAATGAACAAATTCAGTAATTTCTTGTGATACTATTCAGAGTTGATATGTCAAGATACCGGTTTTAAATTAGTTTTAGTGTACTGTAAGTCAAAGTCACTGTTTATTTAAGTTGTCAAATTAGTTTAACTTGGAACCATGAGCCTGTGCTTTGGAAATACCTGCTGTAGGGAGTAAGAAAACTCAAGCTAAGAATCTGTGTATGAGTTATATCTACTTTTTTTTTTTTTTTTTTTCGCTATAGGGTGAGTGCACTCGCCAGACTGACAGAGAGACATGGAGACAGAAGCGAAAAATCACCCCCCAGGGGGGATGGTCACACCGCAATCCCTTCTCCTCCATTCTCCTCTTGGGATCTTGGGCACGCACGCACACGCGCCCGGCGTGAGTTTTAAGCCACCGGGTCCGGGACGCGAACCACGGTCGACTATGTGGGAGTCCAACGACGTAGCCATTATGCTAACTGCTGGTTCCCGAGTTATATCTATTTTGATAATAGATTAGTAATGTAATTTTCAGAATTCAAAAGTGAGCAAATGAGATTGGTGTGCTCTGGTGAAAAAAATCTCCCAACTATTTTTCCCAACCAGAGATGGAAACTAAATAGAGTGGTGGCAGAATGGGGTCAGATTGATATTGTGTACATAATTTACTATCTACTAGCCCTTAGATGGGCATAAGGAGTGTTAGTGATGTCTGCCTCCCTCCTTACAGATGAGGAAACTGAGGCTCAGAGAGAGTAGTTGACTTGCTAAGTAAAGCTCGTGTCACAGTCAGGTAGCAGAACTGGAATTTAGACTTGCATTCTGTAAGTTTAGTCAACTTATGAGTCCTGCAGTAGAAAATGTTACCCTGTTTCCTGAGGAGATGGCAGTGGGGTTTGAGTCTTATACAGTAACAGTGGTCACAATGGTACAAGTTATGATCTGTTGGTCATCCAACTTACTTCAGGGTTATGTACCTCTAGGGTATTTCAAATCTAGATTTTGTTGATTCTTACTTTTTGTGTTTCTTTTTTGTTTTCTTTATTGTAAATGTGCCCCTAGGAGTTTGTCGTATAGAACTTATCTATCTTTTTTAAAAAAATTATTCTTTATTTAATTATTATTATTATTTATTTAATTTGTTATATGGCACATGCACTCACCAGAGAGAGATAGAGACAGAGAGAGAGGAAAAGTAAGAAAGCAAGCCACCAGGTTTGGGACTTGAACTGTGGTTGGCCCTATGGGAGTCCAGTACTTCAACCACCACTCAACATGCTGGCCCCTCTTTCTTCTGTTTTTGAATTGCTAGAGGGCCCATGTACTTGTCAGAGACAGAGAGTGAGAAAGCACCTGCCCACCCCTAGGGAAAGTGGTCACACCACAATCCCTTCTGTTCCATTACTCCCTCTGTTTGGGATTTTGTGACTGAGATATTACTAAAAACCATTTATATTAGTTAAGGACTTACTTGACAGTATACTGTGATATTTTTGTTTATTACTGTACCGAGTGCCCCATTTAACTTTTAGTCAAAATTAAGTGGAAGGTAAAAATGGACCTCATTATTATCTTCGTCACCCAAGCACGCTTGCTGCTGTTATTATCAGCATTAAGACGGTTAATTCAATTGAACATTTCTTCTGGTTTTGTAGATTAGTTACCTTAATTTAGAATGAAGATATTAATGTTGTTATCATAGTTAAAAAGGCCCAGTTACTTTGGTTTACAGTTATAAAAACTATTAGAATAAATTAAAATAGTCCTGCCATTTAAAAAATGAATTTATTTATTTAACTTTATTTGTTATTATTTTTTAATTTGGCCAGAGACAGACAGAAAGGAAAAGTGAGAAAGGAAACTGTCTGGGACTTGAACTGTGGTCGGCCATGTGGGAGTCCAGCATCCCAACCACCATGCCACTTGCTGCCCCCGTGCTGACAGTTTTTTAAAAAGTCATTTTGCTTTTGTTTGTTTTCTTAAAATTTTTTTCTTGCGGGGGGCAGGTCGTTGCTGAGGGTAGTTTTATAAGTTGAAGTTATAAATTGCCAAATTGGAAACATTGAAGTCATAAGGATTCTGCCATTTGTCCAGTATATCTATTCCAGTATCTGAAATTGGGAAAGTAACCACATGATGGATTCAGGAACCCACTGGACCCACACTGTGAAATGAACTTGAACCAAAACTCCGCTGATGACCTCCCATAAGACCCTGCTCTGACTGGTGGACCACAGTGATGTTGGGTTTTCTGGAATTAATGCCAGTTCAGAGCCAGTGTCTAGTAATCCTTTCTCTCAATAAATACTCACCTGATAAAAGGCCATAGGTCCTGGGGGCTGGCAGGTGGCATGGTGGTTAAGGACGCTTCACTCCCACATGGCTGACCGTGGTTCGAGTTCCAGACCTGGTGGCTTGCTTTCTCACTTTCTCTCTCTTTCTGTTCCTCTCTGGTCAAATTAAGAAATAAATAAGTAAATAAAGTTAAATAAAATAATTCTTAAAAAAAAAAAAAAAAAGGCCACAGGTCCTTTTAGGACAGTCTGGGCGAAGACAATAGTTTGAATTTTTGGCTTTGTACTGGGGTTCTTCCTCTTGGGTACCTGGCTTTCTTTTTATTAAGTGGGCTCTGGGTTTGTAAACAGAGAGAGAGAGAGAGAGAGAGAGAGAGGAAAAGCAGTTCCCCAGTGGGATGTGGTCAAGGACCAATCCTTCCTCCTCCATCTTTCCATACCATCAGTGTCTTGGGCATGCATGCACCCATGCTCTGAGTGTTTTTCAAGGCATTGTGGCTGGGATTCAAACCAAGGTCAGCGCCATAGGATCTGATTTTCTTTTTTTTTTTTTTGGAGATATTTTTGCTATAGGGCGCGTGTGCTCGCCAGACAGACAGAGACATAGAGACAGAAAGCGAGAAATCACCCCCTGGGGGGATGGTCACGCCGCAATCCCTTCTCCTCCATTCTCCTCTCAGGATCTTGGGCATGCACGCACATGCGCCCGGTGTGAGTTTTAAGCCACCGGGTCCGGGACGCGAACCGCGATCGACTACATGGGAGTCCAGCGATATAGCCATTACGCTAACTGCTGGTTCCCAGGATCTGATTTTCTGTGCACATCACTTGTCTACTGCACTGTGGACCTAGCTTCTGTGACTTTTTTTGATGATTCAAGTTAGACTTTCGTTCTTCTGACTTAAAACTCTTCTATTTTGTATACATTAAGAATTTAGTAGACATCTTATCTGTATCACTTCCAGTAGCAGTGTGATCAACTAGCCAATGCTATAGGTCTCTGGCAGTCAGAATTTTTCTCACTGAGTTTATTTACTTATTCAGAGAGAGAAACAATAAACATGGGACAGGGGAGAGGGAGATGGCACCCCTAACAGGGTCTCTATGCCATGATCCATCTCCAGCTGTTAACTGTGCCGGATCATGAAAAAGGATGAGCTCTGTATACCGAAGGAGGTCTCTGGTCTTGAAGCAGGTGTTCTTCGTGTGGGATTGCCTTGCAGAGCATCTAGTTCAATGCTGCACCACTGTCTGGCCTCCTGGGAGTCAGACTATTCTGATTGCTGCCTTGACTCTGCTACTAATAACTAAACAATTTACAGAGACTTACAGTTTCACCTTTGCATTAAGACCCACTTTTAATGGAACATCTCTCTCCCTCTTTATTTATTTATTTATTTTTTGGGAGAGGTTTTTGTTATACGGCGCTTGCACTCGCCAGAAAGACAGAGAGAGAGAAAGTGAGAAATCACCCCCCAGGGGGGGATGGCTACGCCGCAATCCCTTCTCCTCCATCCTTCTCTCGCGATCTTGGGCATGCACACACACGCGCCCGGCATGAGTTTAAGCTGCTGGGTCTGGGACTTGAACCGTGGTCGACTACATGGGAGTCCAGCTACATAGCCATTACGCTACTGCTGGTCCCACTCCCTCTTTATTTTTGCCAGATACATAGAGGGAGAGTTGAAAGCACTCTCCATGGTGAATGGTCATGCCACAATTTCTTCTTCATCTCTCCCTCCTTTTGGGATATTTAGGCATGTATGCATATATTCCCTGCTTGTTTTCTTAAGCTCCCAGATCTGGAACTTGAACCAGGTAGTCTACTACATGGGATCTGACTGCCTAAACCACCAGGCCATGAAGCTCAGTGGAGCATCTCTTAAATGAAGTGTAGGGTAGTTTGACCCTGTTGTCCATTGTGCTCTATATACCCAATGAAGATTAACTTTAATTTTTTTTTTTTTCTCTGTGGCACATGCCCTTGCCAGAGAGAGAGAGAGCAAAAGGGAGGTGAAATGAGAAAGCACTAGCTGGCAGTCATGGGGAGATGGCCACACCACTACCCCACTCCTTTGTTCTCCTCTTGGGATTTTAGGCACACTTGCAAATGTGCCTGGTATGTTTCTCAAGCTGCCAGGTGTGGGATTTGAACCACATAGCCATATGGGATCTACCCACCTTAACCACTGGCTGGCTCTGAAGCTTAACTTTTGTCCTTCATTCTCAAGAGTCCCCCTAGCCCTTTTTAAGAGAGTGCTTATGCACATGGGGCTGGTGGATGGGGAAAGCACCTCATCAGTCTTGTCATGCTGTGATCACCTTTCCCTAACCCTTCAGGACCTCAGGACCTTGGGCACCTGTATATCTTCATGTTTCAGGCCAACCATGTATCTGAAGCTGTGGCTGACTAAGTGACTCCAGCCCTGTTGTCCAGTAGACTATGGTTTTTGTCACCCGGCCCTTGGTCCATATTAAGTTGCCTATTTAGTCCAAAGAGGAAATGAAAACTTCAGAAACTAAGCAAATATTGACATTTAAACTTTTATAGGATTAAAAGATTAACTGTTGGCCTCTATTTCTATGAACTTTTCTTAGATTATATGGGCTTCCTTCACAGGTAAAGGGTTGGTGCTAGCATTTACTTTTTTTTTTTTAGTTTGCTATTAGGCATATGTGCTCTGTAGAGAGAGAGAGAAAGAAACAGACAGACAGAAAGAGAAACAAGAAAGCAACCCCCAGGGGGAATGACTACACTGCAGTCCCTTCTCCATTTTTATTTTGAGATTTTGGGCATATGTACACTCTTGCCTGGCGTTTTTTTTAAGCTACCAAGGCTCGAACATGAATCACACTGTCGGCCATGTGGGATCCAGCACCTTAACCACCATGCCACCTGCTGGCCCAGCATTTCTATCTTAGCTTTAGTGTTCTGTGTATTTGCAATTTACTACAAAATTATCTCAAGGCATATAGTGAAAGTTGTTAATTTTTTTTCTTTTTCTTTTTGGAGAGGTTTTTGCTATAGGGCGTGTACGCTCGCCAGAAAGACAGAGAGGCAGAGAGATAGAAAGCGAGAAATCACTCCCCAGTAGGGATGGCCACACTGCAATTCCTTCTCCTCCATTCTTCTCTTGGCATCTTGGGCACGCACACACACACGCCTGGCATGAGTGTAACCCACTGGGTCTGGGACTCGAACTACATGGGAGTCCAGCGGCATAGCCATTACACCAACTGCTGGTCCCAATTTTGTTTTCTTTTAGAGAGATATTTTGTCAAGAAATAGAAAGGGAGACATCATCCCCCTGACGGATGACCACACCACAATACCTTCTCCATTCTCTTCTCGGGGTTTTGGGCATGCATGCACAAGTACCTGACTTGAATTTCAAGACTCTGGGATTGGGACTTGAACCATGGTTGGCCATGTGAGAATTCAGCAACGTAACATTAAGCCATCTGCTGGTCCTGTGAAAGTATTATTTAAGCTTCCTCAAAGTGCTTTTTTTTTTTTTTTTTCTTTTCATCCAAAATTTGTTTATTGGGCTGGTTTCCCACTCATCTTGAGTCAGGATGCCTTTAGTGCTGCTTCCTCCTGAAGGAACATCCTTCTGTAAGCCTCGCTTTTCCTCCTGTAGGCAGGCAGAGGACAGTGGGGCAACCAACACACAAAACTACCGTTTGTGCAAGGCTTATGACTGTGGTGATTTTATAGCATCCTGGGCACTTCACATCCATGAAGTAGGAATTTGGGCTCTGCACCAGGCACTGCTTCTTGTGTTTCTTCTTTTCTGGAGAGGGATGAAGGAGGTCCTTTGCAAGAGGCATGTTCTCGTAACTGCTCAATTTTATTTTCTTTTGATTGGCTTACCCAGTCTCAGTAGATCTGTGTTCAAGTTTGCTTAATTATCCTGTGAGTTAAGCTCTTATGTTGAATCCCTTGGTTAATTCTTTTTAATAAGTTTATTTTCTTCTTCTATTAGTAAAAGAGAGAGAGAGAAATCACCACCACCCCCTCCCCAGAGAGATGGCCATGCTGTGACCCCTCTGCTCCATTTTCTTCTCAGGATTTTGGGCCTACATGTGTACACACACACTCAGCATGGTTTTTCTTCTTTTTTTTCTTAAGAGAGCTTTTCGCTTTTGGGCATGTGTGTTAACTGGAGACAGAGAAAGTGAGAAATCATCCCTCAGGGGGATGTCCATGCTGCACTTGCTTTTCCTCCATTATCCTCTTGGAACTTGGGCACACGTGCACAGGCATCCAGTGTGAGTTTCAAGCTGCCAGGTCTGGGACTCAAACCGCCCTTGGCTCCATGAGAGTCCAGTGGCTTAACCACTATGCCACTTGCTGGTTCCCCACAGTGTGTGTTTGAAGCTGCTGAGGTCTGGGATTCCAACCATGCAGTCAGCCATGTGGTATTAAACCACCTTAACCAGAATGTCACTGGCTGGTCCTGGGAGGGACACTTTAAGATGTCTGCAGTCATTTTGTGCTGACTGCTACTGGTAGGGCTCTTCTTCTTCTCTTACTGTGACCACGCCCAGGTGTTAAATGCCAGTATTGCCCAGGTACTCCATTGTGTCTTCAGTACATCCATGAGTCTCCCGGTTGAATCTCTAACCTCTATTCTTCAGAAAACCTTTGAGTGTTAAACTTGTCCACACTCCGTTGCAAATGTAGTCAGGTCCTTTGGGATACTGTGTGTCCTTGCTTCTTCCCTGAGGTACAGTGTTTGAGCTAGAGTTCTGGAGATAGGTCTGGGGGCAATGGCATGCTTTTCTGTGAGTGAGTGACACTTCAACTCTGGGAGCAGAGCTGAAGGGAGGAGGCATGCCAGCAGCTTAACTTGTCATGGGGCCACTGTTTGATGAGCCAGGTAAAAGGGCCTTTGGCTTCTCAGTGTGCTCAGTGTGCCACATTTATGGTAGAGCCTCTCTTCCGCAAGTTAGGGCCTGGGCAGAGGAATGAACTTGTTTGCCTCTGATGCTGCTTGCCTGGGTTTAGCTTCACCTGCAGGAGATGAGAACTTTGACAGGCTTCTACCAGGAAGGAGGCCTGGGGTTTGGATGGAGGAAGAGAGAGCCTTGCGTTCTGGGCTGCAGCAATCTGGAACCTAGCAGAGATGTAGAGGTGTGGTCTTTGTTCAGATACCACAGACTTGTACTTTTTTATGGTATTTTTGTTGCAATTTTTAGTATATGTGCTGCCAAAGCAAATACTTTGATGGTATTTTCATTGAATTTTCTTTGGTAGCTGTTTCTTCACTTGCTGTTTGACCATTGGACCATTTCTGGAGGCCTTGAAATCTTGTCCTTGTACATCTTACACCATTTCTCACTCAAGAGCAGGCCAGCTCCTCATGCTGTTATACGGATAGTCAATCTCCTGTAATTTCTTTTTTATAGAGAGATTTTTGTTATAGGGTGTGTGCGCTTGCTGGAAAGACAGAGACAGAGAGACAAAAAGTGAGAAATTGAGGGGATGGCCATGCTGCAACCCTTTCTCCTCCAGTCTAAACCACTGGATCTGGGACTCGAACCGCAGTTGACTGTGTGTCCAGCAACATAACTGTTGCATTCCATCTGCTCATCCTTTTTTGTTTGCTCTTTTTTTCTTTCTTTTCTTTTCTTTCCTTTTTTTTTTTTTTTTTTTTTTTTTAAATCTCCTATAACTGTTTTTAAGCTAGTATTCATGCCTCCATCAGGTATGGCTAGCAAAACTATTCCTTCCTTATAGCCCCCAACCACTCCTCAGAAAGTACTCTTAACATATTCCCTTATTTCTCAACTTTCAGATACTTCTCTTATGATACAAGAGACTAGAACTGGTTCCTCATGCTTTTTTTTCTTTAAGAATGAATTCAGTACATGTGGAGGTACTCTAGAAAGGAAATCTGCCTATGAGTTCCTAGTTGGCTGGCAAAAGAGATGAAAGTAATAATAGTTAGAGAATTTTAATGTGAGGGGTAAGGTACCGTAGTTGAGTGTTTGCAAGTTGGCTTGAAAGTGTTGCAGTTAATATTTAGTTTCTCTGACTGGACTTAAAACATCAGAATCAGCTGGCTTCTTTCTCATTTTCACTGTACATCTGAAATTAAAATTTCTTTTGATTATTATTATTTTTCCTTTCCAGGGGCCACTCAATAGTGAGTCTTCCAACCAGAGCTTGTGCAGTGTGGGGTCCTTGAGTGATAAAGAAGTAGAGGTAAGAAGCTACATCCATTGCAAGTTTTTTCATATTTCCACACTTTTAGTCTGGGAGCTAGTACTGCATAACTCCAGGGGCACTGTGTAGTCTGTGTCAGTGACTCCCCTTGGAGCTGTATGCTCTTCCATCGGTTCAGCTAGCATGTGACCCTGATGGCTTTTACTTTTAGATTTTGCCACAGGGCCCATGGATTCATCAGAGAGAAACAGAGAGGGGAAGTAAGAAGTCACTCCTCTTTGGGGAATAGCCACATCACAATTCCTTCTCCTCTGTTCTCTCTGGATTTTGGTCACATGCACCTAGCGTGATTTTTAAGCCAGCGGGTATGGGACTCAAACTGTGGTTGGCCATGCGGGAATCCATTGCCTTAACCACCATGCCACCTGCTAGCCCCAACCCTGATGATGTTTTATTATTATAATATATAGATCTCATCTTTAAAAAAATCATTATTATTTTGTATAGTTGTCTCTTAATAAGGACAGAGATTTGTGATTATAACTGTGTTAGCTTAGGTGCCCTTTAATTTTAATTTAACATTTGTTAGTTGTTCAACAGAGGTCACTGGCTGACAACTTATGTAATAGAATTTGAAGGTGTTTCTGGTTTGTTCCCCTGCTTACATAGAAGATCAGATTTGGGGGCAAATAACCTAGTTACATGATGTAGATCTAAGTCTTACCTTTTTTGCACTCAGATCACTTTTAATAAATTAGAGTTAGTTGCTTGATTGAATCACTCTCTTGTTTTTGGAAGAAAGAGATGTATTTAAGTTCTTTTAAAGCAGAAATATTTTACCAGTAGTTGTCTGAGAGCTCATGTATGGTAGACATTTGTTCTACTTTTGTGCTTTTTCGAATAATCTTATTTGAGTCTTGTAGCCACTCTGATTTACAGATGAGTAAAGTGAAGCTCTGATATTTCAGGCAGTTGGCCAAAACTTGTGTAGAGGTTTGGTTCTAGAACCTGTACAGTTCCTCTTACTCTGTTCTAAGAGCAGGACACTGGTTCAGTCCCCTTCTGCACCAGCTAAATCTTTTTATATATTTGGTATTTTGTGCATATGCTCTTTTCCTTAATGTGTAAACTGTACCAAAATGCTAACTGTGACATATATGGTATTTAACAGACTCCTGAGAAAAAGCAGAATGACCAGCGAAATCGGAAAAGAAAAGCTGAACCATATGAAACTAGCCAAGGTAGTAATAATTTCATACCAATAAAAATGCTGAATTTTTATAGAATTTTTTTAAAGAATGATTTTATTTAATTTTATATATTATTATTCCTTTTTTATTTTTTTTTAATTTGACCAGAAACAGAGAGGGAAAGTTAGAAAGCAAGCTGCCAGATCTGGGACTCGAACTGTGTTCGACCATGTGGGAGTCCAATGCTCTAATCACCACTTTACCTGCCAGTCCCTATATAGAATTTTTTTAACTCACATGAAATATTTAGTTTGTGTACACCATTTCCTAACAAAGGAGGTTTGTATATCTTATGGGAATAGCAGGTTATTATAGACTTGCCATTTGATACACACTTAACAAAACAGGGTCAATTCTTTGGGGGCTTTTGTTTTCCTTGTTGTAAGTCAATAATCTTGCCACAGGTTTTTCTTTAGACCAAGCACATACAATACAGAAAAGAGGTTATGCTGGAGTTTTAACTATATTTATAACACTCGTAGTTAGTGATTTGTTAATAATAGGTAGTTAGAAATGGTTTTATTTACATTGCTGTCCTTTCCACCCACTATTCTTCCATTGCAGTTACTAGTTGAACCTTGGCATCCACTCGAATTTGTCTATGAAAATAATGGTTATAATGCCAGATACTTTCATGTAATCAAAGAAAAAATATATGTGATTTAGCTTTTTCCTCCTACTGTTCTAAGGACTGGAAGTCAGTCTTTTTGCATTATCTTTTCTTTTTTTTTTTTTTTTTTGAGAGTATTTTTTGCTGCAGTGCACATGTGCTCACTGGAGAGACGGAGAGAAACAGGAAGAAAGTGAGAAATCACCCGATAGGGGGGTTGGCCATGCTGCAGTCCCTTCTCCACTCTCCTTTGGGGATCTTGGGCACACACGCTGGGTGTGAGTTTTAAGCTGCTGCAGTCAGGACTCGGACCATGGTTGACTATGTGGGGATTCAGTGATGTAACCACTATGCAATCTGCTGGTCCTATATTATCCTTATTTTTTAAATCTATAGATAACTCATTTTGTCTTTTGGGAGGAAAATTCTCCCAAGTGACAGTCATACAAAGCTATGTGCGAAATAGAATCAGCTCTTTAGTTTTGATGAGTTTGTTCTGAATTCTTCATTCTCTAAGATCATGGTGTGGATTATAGATTAGCTTTATTTTCTTTCACAGTTATGGCATAAATTTTATTAGTATATTTATATATAAGAGAGATTTTGTGTGTGTGTGTGTATATTTCTTCCTTTCACTGGTTGTTCAGTCATTTACTAACGAGGAAATAGCCTGTTCATAGAGTACAGGCCTTTTGGCTGATTTGTTAAAAGTGAAGCTGACCCTCGACTTTATAGCAATGTGTGCAGTAAGGCTGTGTATTGAGTACATAGTACATTGTAGTGAATGATGGTTTTCATGTGTACTGGAAAAACTGTACTTACTTTGGTTTCATTTTCAGGGAAAGGCACTCCTAGGGGACATAAAATTAGTGATTACTTTGAGGTAAGTTAAATTTTTGGAAAAAACTATATAGTGATCTTTAAAAAAAACTTAAATCCTTGTATTCATTTAAGGTGCTAGAAAGCAATATTGTGTCTTTCCTGTGCTCTGCTCCCCTTCCTCCCCATCTTCACCAGTCTGATGTTGCCCTATCTCTCAATACTGCTGCTGACTGCCTTAATTAAATTACGTGTCTTGTCTGTGATGATATAAGAATTCACAAATGAGGTGATTTTTCTCTTGGCCAGATGAGGTTTCGTGTCTAACAAAGATTGAGGTGGCATGAATTGGACTCTTCTTTTGTCCTCTTCCCTTTAGTCCAGTGGACCATGTGGTGAGCTCACGGGCCATCGTTAGTGGGCACTAAAGAAGACACTGGCACCTGCACCACTGTGTTTCTGCTTCGTGTGTTTTGAGACAAGAAAGGAAAGCTATTTTGAGATGAGAAGGGAAAACATTCTCTCATGTCCTTTTAGAACCATGTGTACCTTAGCTTTCTAGCCATGTTTTCTTTATATCTTGGTACATTTCTGCTGGAGCTCCTTCTTAAAAATCTTGTTGAAAAGATAAGATAATTTGACTTATGTGGTATTTTCTCCCTTGAATGAGATGTATTGATTTAAAAGGGGCCAGATGTAATTAAGACCTGTTTGTGTACTAATCTTTTACTCCTTATCTCAAGCATAGTACTGTTTGAATTATTCATATCCATTTTTCCCTGTTGGCCAGTTTGCTGGGGGAAGCGGGCCAGGAACCAGCCCTGGCAGAAGTGTTCCACCAGTTGCACGATCCTCACCGCAACATTCCTTATCCAATCCCTTACCGGTAAGCATTCACCTGGAGAATTTGACACCTGTTGTAGGAGACGAGAAGTGCAGGAACACTCAAGGAAAGTTTCTCTTCCATTAATTACCAGTGGGGATTGAGGCATTAGGGAGAAAAGTTCATTAAGTATTACCTATGAATCATGTACCTAGATTCACATTTGCATTGGTATATCAACTTTTTACAGTGACTGACCCTGTTCTCTCAGTGTAATAAATTCACTCTAAGCCTCTAACTCAGTGGTCTGTCAAGAAAATGATTCTAGTCTAAGCATTAGGTTTTTATCCTTGCCTAACTTAGGTGTTCTTTCAACTAACTTTTGTCCTTTCAAAAACTTGGTTGGGGGAACCAGCAGTTAGCATAATGGCTATGTTGCTGGACTCCCATGTTGTTGACCATGGTTCGAGTCCCAGACCTGATGACTTGAAACTCATGCCGGGCACGTGTGCATGCGTGCCCAAGATCTTGAGAGGAGAATGGAGAAGGGATTGCAGCGTGGCCACCCCCTTGGGGGGGGTGATTTCTCGCTTTCTGTCTCTCTGTCTCTCTCTGTCTCACATGCCCTAAAGCAAAAACCTCTCCCCCCCACAAAATAAAATTTGATTGGTACCTGGCATTTGAGTTATCCGTAGGACTTAAACTTAGGGTGCTGATAGAAGAGCTAATGGTTTGCAGTTTGAGATAGATTTGTTTCTAGCCTCTGAGTTAGCTCAAAAGGCTTGAGAATAACATTATATACAAACTAGTAGTTCTCAGTTTTGGTTTAGCAGCTTTGCCCTTCAGGGGACATTTATCCATATCTGGAATCAGTTTTGGTTGTCACAACTAGAGCGAGGGGAGATGATGCCATAGGCATCTACTGAGCAAAGGCCAGGGCTGCTGGTAAAGAGCCCACAGCATTAAGACAGTCCTCCTACAACAAAGAGTTACCTGGTCCAAAATGTCACAGGACCGAGGTTGAGAATTCCCAAGCTAGCTAATGTAGGATTTTGAGTTCATTTACTCAGTGTCTTTGGGCAGTTTGTTGGTATCATACAAGACCTTGTACTCAGGATTATACTTCGTCCACTAATAGCTCAGGTATTGCTCAGGTGGGATCTTGTGGGGTGGGGTCTCTGAGATCAGGAGCTTTCATCCTAGATCTCTGTCTAGCAAAGTGGTTTTTCTTTGCCCTAGTAGATCAGATAGTACTGCTTTGCTGCTAAGCGAGTTCAGGCTTCTATATTGTTTAAATATTTTGAGATGCACCTCTTTCTGCTCTGCTGTCTTATAAAAGCATGCAGTTGTTAAGATGACTGGATTATTAAGTCACTTACAAAAACATAAGTTAAATTTATGAAAATAGCTTGAAGTGATTTTGCTGTTTTCTTGTCATCCTTCCCATATTTTAAAATGTTAGACGTGTTTGTCATACAGATCTGTTTGGGTAGGTTGAGGTGATAACTGTTGAGGAGGCCCGTGTCTCTCTTTGTTAACAGAGAAAAAAATTTAAACCAATTAGTTTAAAAAAATATCAAATGGGATTGATTAGGGATTATAGGTTATCTATTTGGGACAGATACGTTTTGTAGAATGTATCAGTGTTGTTTTTGATGGCGTGGCCACCCATCTATCGTGTATCAATTTAGGTCAAATTTTAACGGAAGACAAAAGAGATATGCTCAGTTGATCAGTTTCTGCCAACTGTATGCATGTGACTAGGTCTCATCATCATTATGTGAATCTAAGTATATATTAGGTGTTAACTAGGGACTGAGTATTTCTTTCTTTTCATTGCACAAGGAGGCTCTTTCTCCTAAGTTGGATTTTGTGCTTCATTGTTAGAATCACTGATTTGTGTATACCCCTTGGTTCTCTTTCTCTACTCTCTCTCTTTCATACTTGCTTGAAAGAGCCCAGCCCTGTTAAATCTAATTCTCTATATCTTTTTCTCACCTGTCTCTAGGCAGCTCAGTGTGCTTGGGAGAAACATACATACCCAGCTGACTGCTCTCGCTTTAGAGTCATGACCTTTAACCTCAAGGCACCTCCAGCTATCTGCCAGTCCTACTGTATTTCTCCTTAGGTCCCTTTCCCAATGAATATTTCACTTTTTTTTTTTTTTTGGAGAGATTTTCACTGTAGGGCATGTGCGCTCGCCAGACAGACAGAGAGAGACATAGAGACAGAAAGCGAGAAATCACCCCCCAGGGGGGATGGTCACGCTGCAATCCCTTCTCCTCCGTTCTCCTCTCAGGATCTTGGGCACGCACGCACACGCGCCCGGCGTGAGTTTTAAGCCACCGGGTCCGGGACGTGAACCGCAGTCGACTACGTGGGAGTCCAGCGACATAGCCATTACGCTAACTGCTGGTTCCCAATATTTCACATTTTTGTCAATTCCTGCAAACCTCCAGCAAATACTACTTCTGATTCAACTGCTGTCCTTACTTTATTGGTATACTGAGAAAATAGAAGCAATCAGAAAAGAACAATCCACCTTTTGGGATGAATGACCTTGTCAGCCCTTCACTTGGGTTCTGCTTTCTTTGATAATTATGTGTACAACTCTACTTAATGATTCTGCTTCTATTTCTAATGCACAGCCTGAACTTCAATATGTCCAAAAAGGAACACTTGCTTCCCCTTCACTGCCAGAGCAGTAACAACTGCAGCAACACCACCACACTGGTCTGTTTTTGTCCTGGTAAATGACGGTGTACCCCATTCAGTTTTTTTTAAAGAATTATTTTATTTTATTTTACTTTACTTATTTATTTATGTTTTTAATTTGACCACATTGAGACACACACAGAGAGAGAGAGAGAGAGAGAGAGAGAAATTGAAAAAGCAAGCCACCAGGTCTGAGACTCGAACCAAGATTGGCTATGTGGGAGTCCAGTGCCCTTAACCACCATGCCACCTGCCAGGCCCCTCATTCAGTTTTTCAGATCATAACCTGATGCCTTAAATCTAATCCATTAGAGAATTCTTTCTTTCCTTTAAAATGGTAGAATTTGGTCACTTTTCTATTCTTTTTTAAAATAATTATTTAATTTTATTCACCATCATCATCATCATTTTAATTTGATCAGAGAGAGACCCAGAAAGAGAAGGAAAGTAAGAAAGTAAGCCGCCAGGTCCAGGACTCGAACCGTGGTCAGCCATGTGGGATTCCAGCACTCCTTATCCACCATGCCAGCTGCCAGCCCCCACCTTACTATTCCTTCTACTGTGGTTTGAGTCCTGAACCTGGAGGCTTGCTTTCTCACTTTTTCTCTCTTGTTTTCACTCTTGCTCTGTCTCTCTCTGGTCGTATTAACATAAATAAATAAAGTTCAAATAAAGTAATTATTTAGAAAAATAATAGAAAGGAAAAAAGAAAGAAAAGTTCATTGGTTAGTGCAGAGGTGGAATGCAGCTCTCTGTCAGGGTGACCCTCGTGACACAGATCCAGGTTCATATCCAGAGACATCCGTGAGTATTCTGGGCATGTGTGTGTCCATGTCTGGGGCTAACTGAAGCTAGGAGTGGATTGTGGCATTGAGACCCTTTAGGGTATGCACTCACTCTTTCTCTTGCTCATGGGAGGAAGAAATAAACTTAAAAAAACAGTTACGACACATCCTGCTACTCCTCTGCTCAGTACTGCTCAACGGCTTCCTATACTATACGTCCTTAGTTATCACCACCTCACCTACACATACACATGCACACTCAGCCCTTCATATCAGCAGCTTCTGCATCGTGGATTCCACCAATGGGAGATTCTTCTTCTGCATCTGCTGATTGGATTTTCTCCACATCCATGGGTGCAGAACCTGCAGATGTACAGGGTCAATTGTAAGGGACTTGAGCCTTTAAGGATTCTGGTATTTGCTAGGATTCTGGAACCAGTCCCCCACAGATATCAAAGGATTACTGCATGTGCTGTGTGCTTTCAGTTTATTTCTCTTCTTTCATGAGCAAGTGAGAGAGCTAACACCCCAACAGAGTCTCGACACCAGGCTTCACCCCCAGCCAGTACTGGATGATTGGCACAAGCGTGCCTGCTTTACTCGGGGGTTCTGGGTTCCGACCCGGAACTGTCCCATGGGGGTTAGCCTTGAAGAGCTTCATGTTTTATTGATGCACCAATGTCCAGCTATGTAGATTTTGATATAAACTGATATTTAAAAATGGATTCATATTTCCATATTTAGACATATGGAAGTATACACCTATATTATGTGTGCAGCCTGATGAATTTTCACAAACTACCAGTACAAGAAACAAAATATAATCAGCCCCACAGAAGTCCCTCCTCTGCTCCCTTCCAGTTATTTGCCTCCTCCCCACCACCAGGGTTAGCCGCTGTCCTGAGTTTTTCTGTTTTGTATTTTGTGTGAAATGAATCATACGGTGTATAACTCTCAAGTCTAGAACCTTTCCTTCAGCCTTACTTGTGTGTGCTTTGTCTGTATTTTTGAGTTGGAGATCATTCATTGTCATTGGTGTGTGGTAAAATTGTAATACCTTTTCATTTAATAATTTACATACTTTAATTTTTAACTAAGTAATTAACTCATTGCCCATCTTCTCCCACTGGTACGCCAATCCCATGGGAGCAGGGACTTTGTTTCGTTTATTGTTGTTTCCATCTCTCATAGTACTCGTTATATAAGGGTGTAATTATTTTAACTGGTTTCCCCTATTTGACATGCCAGTGATAATATCTTGTTCAGTTTTAGTCTCTAGCACCCAGACTGTGTTTAACCCACAATGGGTGCTTAAAACTGTTTCTCGAAATGGAAGAACAGATGAATAAAGAATTATTTTCGCCTTCCCCCACCCCATAAATGGTTCTTTTGTACTTTTAATTAAATGTAGTAATAATACACCAAAAGCATATAAGACATGAACATTTTCATGTAATGTTGGCAAATTGCAGCCCACGGCTAAGGTGGACTAAGGGGGATTTTCAGGTTTTTAAAGTGTTGTACAAACAAATAATATATGACAAGAGAGAGATGTGCCCTGAGAAGCCTAAAGTATTTTGATCTGGCCCTTCACTAAAAACTTCCAGAAAATCATTATAATGTTAAATCCATGTAATCATTACATATGAGAGGCAAATCATTTCCAGCTCTCTGGAAACCTGCTCCTGTCCACAACCTTAAAGGCAGTCACTCTTCCGGTTTTATGGAAATCATAATTGCTTTTCCTTAGAGTTAACTGTCTTTGTACACGTCCCTAAACAAATGGATCGGTTTGTCCATTAAGTCAGCTATCTTGATCGTAGTGTTCTGTATGTAGATTTTTGGCCGTTTATCAATTACAGAGATAGAGGTATTCGTATTTCTCACCATGGGAAGTTGTCTGTTTCTTTTTCATACACTTAAATTAGTTTTTGCTTTATGTTTTACTGGGTTACTCTCTTCATCTTTTTAAAAAGCTCTTTGCAGGATCAGCAGATGCCATATGGTTACATCACTGGACTCCCACTAGTCAGAACACAGTTCATGTACCAGACCCAGCAGTTTAAAACTCAGACTGGTTGCATGTGTGTGCATGTGTGCCCAAAATCCTGAGGAGAGTGGAGGAGAAGGGATTGTGACATGGCCATCCCCTGTAGGGGGTGATTTCTTGCTTTCTGTTTCTGACTCTTTGGTGAGCATTTTTGTACTCAGTAGCAAAAAAATCTCTCTCTTAAAAAAAAAAAAAAAAGAAAAGCTCTTTACTTTAAATATGGCTTTTCTAATATTCAGTATCTCCAAGCCATTGTGTGGTATAAATATTTCCATTCATTTAAAAAAAAAAGTAAGAGAAAGGGAGAATTTTGACCGGGTCTTAACCTCCCAGCCTTCTAGTTAGCAGCCTTCCAGTTAGCTCAGACCACAGATATGTGCCACTGTGCCTATCCTGTTTGGGTTGTGCTGGAAAATTAACCCAGACATCCCCTGTGGCCTCAGCTACCATGTAGTTACACCCTACTGCTGTGCCAGTGTGGCTGAGCCTCAGTCTGTATTTTATCAGATCAGAAGAAAGCTTTTCTCTTCTCCCACAATTGTCTTTTTTTTTTTTTTTCCCTACCACTTGGGTAGTATTTTTCTTAGTGTCCTTGACTGTGCCCTTTCTAAAGAAATATGTTACAGGGAACCAGCAGTTAGCGTAATGGCTATGTCGCTGGACTCCCACGTAGTCGACCGCGGTTCGCGTCCCGGACCCAGTGGCTTACAACTCACGCCAGGCACGTGTGCGTGTGTGCCCAAGATCCCGAGAGGAGAATGGAGGAGAAGGGATTGCGGCGTGACCATCCCCCCGGGAGTGATTTCTCGCTTTCTGTCTCTATGTCTCTCTCTGTCTGTCTGGCGAGCACACGCACCCTATAGCAAAAACCTCTCCAAAAATAAAAAAAAGAAGTATGTTACTGAGTTTGTTTTTGTTTTTGTTTTTTTAAGAGGGAAATGGGATAATCTTATAGCCACCAAACTGATCTCACTGTTCTCTTACCTGGTGTTAGAAGCTGTTGCAAGGGATGATACACCCCTGCCCTCTTTCTTCTGTCCCCATTTTCTTTTTTTATGTGCACAAGCGCTTACCATTAAAAGAAAAAGAAAATAAGAAGGAAGGAAGCTTTCATTTATCCATCGTTTCTTTAGAAGGTACCTGCTTATTTTGTTCTGGATGCTTTTAAAATTTTTATCTGTGGTCTCTAGTTTCACTATGATCTATCTTTTCTTTCATTTTTTTAATCATTGGACATGGAATCTGTGAGTTTACCAATGTTTTTCCACGAGTTGTGGATAATTTTTAGCCATTATCTCTTCAGATATATCTTTGTCTAGTTCTTTTCCTCCTCTTATGAAATCCTAATGAACCATATTTATTGTAGAATATCTTATTTTATCATTGGGCCTCTTGATTTGTTTTTAATATTTTCTTTACATTTCTATATGTTTCATATTGCATAACTTCTTGCTTTTTAGTTTCCAGATTCTCTGTTTTGTTATCTCTAATTTAAGCCCTGTTAGAATTTTTATTTTTTTTTAAATGAGAGAGGTCGTTTGTGAATAGGAGGGAGCAGGGAGAGAGGAGGTGTTTTTGACAGTCTTGCCAGATTGTGGTCCTCCTTGTCCCAGCTACCCAGTCTAGCTGGGACCTCCGATGTGTGCCACCATACCTGTCCTGTTCAGACTGGGGTGGCCTTCCTTTGTGGCCTTGGCCATCACACAGAGATGTTCTCTTGCTTGTGCCACTGCAGTTGGAACCTTATTGAATTAATTATTGTTAATGCTTTTTTTGTTAATTTTTTTTCAATTTTATGTCTCCTATTGATATTTAAAACCCTATCTTATTTTTTATTAATCTACTAGACAGAACTGTGGGTTTTTTTGAGACGTTTTTGCTATAGGGAACATGCGCTTGACGGAAAGACAGAGAGAGACAGAGAGACAGAAAGTGAGAAATCGCCCCCCAGGGGGATGGCCATGCCGCAATCCCGTTTCCTCTTGGAATCTTGAGCATTCTCACACACGCACCGGCATGAGTTTAAACCACCGGGTCCGGGACTCGAACCGTGGTCGGCTACTTGGGAGTCCAGCAACATAGCCATTACACTAATGCTGGTCCTGACAGAATTGTTTTTGTGTGTCCCATGATTCTGGTATCTGAAATTGTTTATGATTCATCTTTTCCTCTTTTTCTTAGTAATTGCTCATAGCTTTATTTCTTATACGCTGTTGCTACCTTTCTTTTCTTTTCTTTTCTTTTTTTTTTTTTTTTAAGATTTTTTGCCATAGGGTATGTGCTCTTGCTGGAGAGACAGAGACAGTCAGAGGGAAAGTGAGAAGTCACCTCTGGGAGGAGGGACAGCCACACTGTAATTCCTTCTCTTTTTGAGAGAGAGATTTTTTTGCTATAGAGTATGTGCGCTTGCCGGAAATACAGAGAGATGGAAAATGAGAAATCATTTCCTCAGGGGGAAGGCCATACCGCAGTTCCTTCTCCTTCATTCTCCCCTTGGGATTTTGGGCACCCATGCACATGTGCACAGTGTAAGTTTTAAGCTACCGGGTCTGGGATTTTTTTTTTTTTTTTTTTGGAGAGATTTTCGCTATAGGGTGCGTGCACTCACCAGACTGACAGAGAGACATAGAGACAGAAAGCGAGAAATCACCCCCCCAAGGGGGATGGTCACGCCGCATTCCCTCCTCCTCCATTCTCCTCTCGGGATCTTGGGCACATGTGCACACACGCCCCGGCGTGAGTTTTAAGCCACTGGGTCCGGGAAGCGAACCGCGGTTGACTACGTGGGAGTCTAGCGACATAGCCATTACGCTAACTGCTGGTTCTCCCCCCCCCCTTTTTTTTCTGGGTCTGGGGTTTGAACCACGGTCAAATATGTGGGAGTCTAGTAATGTAACCATTATGCCACTGCAGTCCCTTCTCTTCTATTCTCTTCTTGGGATTTTAGGCACTCACACTCACATGTCTGGCGTGATTTTCAACCCACTCAATCCAGGACTCAAACCACAGTCAGCTATGTAGCTATGTGGGTTTCAGCACCTTAACTACTGTGTCCCCTGCTGGTCCTGCCTTTTTTTTTTTTTTTTTTTTTAGCACTATAGGGTGCCTTCGCTTGCTGGAGAGACAGAGGCAAGAAAGCAAGAAATCACCCACGAGGAGGGATGGCCATGTCGCAGTCCCTTCTCCATTCTCCTCTCAGGATTTTGAGCAGGCATGCATGTGCACACGTGCCCAGCATGAATTTTAAGCCGCTGGGTCCTAGACTAGAACCACGGTTTACTACATGGGAGTCCAGTGACATAACCATTATACCAATCTGCTGGTCCCATCTGCTTCATATTTTTAACTGTGTGCTCCTCATTGGTCTTGAAAAATTACTTGTGCGATTGCTTTGGTCAGGGATGAAGATGTGTTTTTCCAAGAAGTTTTATTTGCTTCTTCCATTGCCTATAGATTTTACCTCTCTGTTACTACTTCAACTATTGCATTAATGGCTTTTGTTTTGTTTGATGGGCTTATTGTGTTTGTTTCAACCACCATAAACTATTTGAATTGTATTACCATTGCTCAGAGGAACCAGTGACCCATGCCCTGCTATTGTAGCTTTCTTGTAGCATCCTGAAGGTAGGGGGATTTTTCTTCTGATTTATTCTGCCACTGAGAGTGTGGCCCTTTGGGAGCCCTGCTTGAAGTGGGAAGGGTCTCCTGTTGGCTTCCCTAGCCTGGATGGAGTTCACTGTTTGACAGATGTTGGTGCTTTGGAAGTGAAACTCAAGACCTGCAGGTGCCCTTAAGTTGTAGGTAAACTCATGAGCTTCTTTTATCTGTTTTATGTTCCTGATTCTTCTGCCATAGCAGATACCTTTGTTTTCATTTTTCCTTATTTTATCCTGTCTTTATCCTTGTTTTCCAAGGGAGAGTTGGTTCATATAAGCTTTCCTGCCATCTCTCCAGAAATGTTTAAAAATCTTTCAGCTTTGGACCAGCAGATGGGAGTAATGGTAATGTTGCTGGACTCCCATGTGGCCGACCATGGTTCAAGTCCCAGATCTGGCAGCTTAAAACACGCTGGGCACATGTGCGTGCATGCTCAAAATCCTGAAATGAGAATGAAGGAGAAGGGTCTAGTATGACCATCACCCTTGGGGGGTGATTTCTCGCTCTCTGTCTCTCTGGCTAGCACATGTGTCCTATAGCAAAAATCTCTCAGAATTTTTTTTCAGCTCTGGGCAGATGTTGATTGAGTATATGAAAGAATGATTTTCGTATTTCAGCTTCAGGGATACACTCCCCCACGAAACGAGAGCATTGCGGTGGGCGTGTCACAGTGCTGTGGTGGGTGCAGAGTGCTGATCTTGATGTGGACTCTGCGCATGGATTTACAAACAACATTCACTTGGCAGGATCATTTTTTTGTTTGTTTGTTTCATTTTCTGAAATGAAAATGTTTGATAGTTAATCCTAATAAAGGGATTCATGCCGATGACAAAAGCTCTACAATTCAGATAGTTCCCTCCAGAAGAACTGTTATTAAAGTGTATAGTAGGCATGTATTTCTAGAGCTTTCTTGGATGTGTATACTCATGGATGTGTACATAATAGATTTCCTCATTTTTCACTATTAATCAATATCCCGTACACTTCTGTATTCTATAATTAGTGTTATCATGAATGCCTTTTTATTTACTTCTGTACTTATGCGTTTTTTCCTTTAGATCAATTCCCAAATTGTAATTCTTGAGTTGCATAGTTTGTTTATCTCAAAATGTTATCACCTAAATCAGTACAAGGTTATTAGCAGTTTGAGATTACCAAGTTTTGCACATCTTGCTAATATTGAAGTTTATCATTGTAATCTTTATCAGCGAGAAAAATATCTTGTTTTAACTTGCATTTCTTCACTAGTGATATTAAACATCTTTTTAAATGTTTAGTGGCTGTTTAGATTTCTCTTGCAATGCTATCAGATCCTTTGCCTATTTCTCTGTTGGAATATTTTTTCTTACTAATGGGCAGATGGAAGCACATTCTTTATTAAGATTTTCAGCTCATTGTCATTCCTATTGTAAATATTTTTGCTTGTTTGTAACCTTGTCTTTTAACTTCATGTTGACTTTATTCAGAAGTAAAAAAGTTTGAAATACTCAAATTTATCATTGTTTTTCCTTTATGACTTATGGGTTTTATATTACTCTTAATGTTCCTGTGTAGTTCACATTTTTAATGTCATGTTTAAAAAGCCTTTTACCACTAGAAAGTTACAAAAGTATTTGTTGGGCTAGCCAGTGGTGTGGTGGTTAAGGCAGTTAGATTCCACATGGCTGACTGTGTGATTCTAGTCACAGACCCTGTGACCTGAAAAATAGGCTGGGAAGGGACAGCAGATGGTGCAGTGGTTATGTTGCTGGACTCCTACAGGGTCAACGTGGTTTGAGTCCGGGACCCAGTGGCTTGAAACTCAAGTTGGGTATGTGTGTAAGCATGCTCAAGATCCTAGGCAGAGAATAGAAGAGAAGGATTGTGTTAGTGCCATCTCCCCTGGTGGGTGACTTCTCACTTTCTGTCTCTCTGACTCTGGCTTTGCCCCCCCCCCCCCCCAAGCACATGTGCTCAAAGCAAAAAATCTCTTTTAAAAAAAAAAAAAAGAAAAAAGAAAAGAAAAACATACTGGGAGCTTGTGCATGCTTGCCCAAAACCCCGAAAGGAGAAACAGAGAAGGGATTGTAGTGGATCATTCCCCTGGAGGGCTGATTTTCACTTCTTTTTATTCCTCTGTTTCTCTGGCCAATGCACACACCCTATAGCAAATTTTTTTATTTGAAAAAAAGCATTTATTTATATTCTTATGATTTTACATATGATAGGAGGTAGAAGTCTACTTTTACATTGTTTTCTAATAGCTATACAGTTATCCTAATATCTTTTAAGTAGTCTCTCAGTAATTTGAAATGTTGTTTGATCACTAATTATATGCCCATATATGTGGCTCTGTTTCTGAATTCTCTGTTTCGTGCCACTGGTCAAAATGTCTGCTCCTGTACCTGTGTTAAATTGTTTTGGTTAATGTAGCTTTATAGTATGTTTTGATATCTGGCCAAGTTTCCTTGGTCTTCTTTATAAAAAAAAAATGTGTCTAATTTTGATTATTTTTCTGAGAGAACTTTAGAATTAATTTGTAAAATTTCACAAACAACCCCCCAAAAGAAAGAGAGAGAGAACTGGGAAGACCACTATATCACCACAGCACTCCTCCACGAGGGGAAAAAGGCCAGAAATAACCAAAAGCCCCAAACATTGGTTTTAGAGAAATTTGATAACTATAGTTTGATCCAGGAACATGGTATCGCTGTTTTTACCTTTTATATTTATCTGTGAAGCTACAAAAACTTGTTTTTCTTCACATGTATTCTGTATAGTTCCTAAGTTTAATTCCAAGTATTTTATAGTTTTTTTATGCTATTTTAAATCTGCTTTTTCTTTCATTACATGCTCTGATTACAATAAATTGTTGCTTTATATGGAAGCTATTGATTTTTGTATATTTATTTTGTGCTTGGCTATCTTACTGAGCTCTCTTATTTGTTATAGTAGTTTTTCAGTTAATTTGCTTGGTTTCTTTTGTGAATAGTTATATCATCCAGAATGGTGCTTTCTAATTTTCAGTATTTTCCTTTGTTTATTCCTCTTATTTCTGTCCTCATTACACTGACTAAAACTTCTGTGATGATGTTGAATGTATTAATGTGTTACCCCTCTCTGATTTCTAACTTTAATGAAGAGTTTCTAATGAAGCACCACTAATTAATTACTATATTTTACGATGATTTTATTGAAAAGCAGAAAACAAAACACTCTTTGTTGTTATAAGGATGGATACATCAATTATTTAAAAGTTAACCAACAGCGTGCAAATCCTTTTTGGTATCTAAAAGGAAGAATCAAAATTACCCCTTACCCAACATTATCGTAAGAAACGGCATTTGTAGATTTACTGATACTGAACCCTTCTGACATTTCTGGAATAAGCCATGCATCATTGAGTTTTGTTATTCTTTTAATGTACTATGGCACTTTTTCTGCTTGCATTTATTTTAGATTTTTAAAAACTAAGTATAGAATAGTTAGAATGGACTCGAGAGTGAAATAAGCTTTGCTTATAAATTCATGACATAAATGGCTTAATTTTCATTTGCCTACAGGGTAGAAATAACATTTCCTGTGTAGGATTGAGGGTATTATGAAATCGATTTGTCAGACTCTACAAAGAAATCTGTGACTTCAGAGTTATGCAATTGTAGAACCGTTAAAATATAATGTCATGGAATTTGGATAAGATACCAGCCCAGGTTTATAGACAAGTTCTAGTACGGTGGTAATGTTACTATTTTCAGAGAAGCTTTTGTTTTGCTCATTCATCTTGTGTTTGAGACCTGTGTGGTAACCTGCTGCTTGTTGCTAATATCAGCTTATCTTTCTTATGTAATTTGGTGCATGTTCTTTTAATGTTTTACAGCGGCGAGTC